GCGCGCCGGGGATGGCGCGCGTGGCCGGCGCGCTCTGTGCGTCGCTCGGGTTTTATCGCAGCAGCGGCTGAAGGCGCTTCCTGCAGCGCGGCCGCCGGCGGAGGTAGGCGCCCGGTCGGGGCGATGGCGGCGGCGGGGGAAACGAGGGCGTTTGCACCTCAGAATAAACCGCCTGCAGCTGCGCTTCCTGCGCGCGTTTCTGCCCGTCGCGCGCGTGCGGTTTTGGTTCCGCAGGCGCGGGGTCGGGCGCGTGGCAGCAGGAGCGGAGCGGAGCGGGCCTTGTGCAAGCGCGGTGCGCGGTGCGGGGCGCGCAGCTGCCGCTGCGGCGGCGCCTCTCGTGCGGCGCGGCTGGCGCCTTCCGCTAGTCCGCTGGCTTTAACTGGCACCGAGATGCTCCGTCAGCATCACACTTCGGTTGCGTTCTGTCGTTTTAACGCTTAGTTCAGCGGGTGCCTTGCTCTTGCAAYGCACGTTCATTACTCAGCAATGCAATCTCTGTAATTCTCTGCAAAGCAGTTGAAGTTATAATCCATGTAATCCTTATAAAGCAATTTCACGTGCAGTCTATTTTGAGACTCYTGCTAATATTTTTCATTTCTAGATGCTATCTATTTCTAATGCCTGGCTTTTATTAGTCAAATTTACTACTGATATTTAACATATCATGTCTACTTTAAATGTACACAGTATTCCCCACACCRCCTTATCAGTTTATCTCTTCATTTAATTTTGTGGATGTGTTTGGTAGATGTTTGTATGAGTAATGCTGCATTGAGCATATGTAGTCTGAAGAGACTGAAGATAGAGTCTCTCCATCTGTTGTATCTTTCCAAGTTTAGACCTTCTCCTCCTGCAAGAATGATTAGCCCTATTGCTTGCAAAAATGCCAGCCTCAAAATAGTCCCTTTAAAAGGAGGGAAGATAAAAGAGTCAAGCAGAAGAAGCAAGAAGCAGCAAGAACAAATTTTCAAGACCAGCTTCTGTAGCAGATCATCTATCGAACAACATCACGCAAACACTGTATTTCATGAAAGTTAAGTTTTATAAAAATGTGACTATTATATTTTACCAGGAAACCTTTCATCTTGCCCAACATTTTTTTTTCTTGCCATTGGAACTCTGTAACATCAAGTCATTTGAAAAAACAGAAARTCAGAAAGCCTATACTGTAATATTAGAGAAGATGTCTGAAATTTTCATTCAATCATTTATTTAGTCCATTAGACTCTGGTAGACATCTCCTGGTTAAGTGGTAAATGTTACAGACGCTTCCTTTCTTCTCCTCAGCCGAAAGCTGGAGAAAGCACCTGTTATCTCAGTTCTGCTCAGACTTGCTTTAAACCTTGGTCTCTACTAGCAACCTCTTGGCATCTCCAATCAGTTAAATAGAGATGAGCAACACTGTTAGTTCCTGTTAAAACTCTTGAGTTTGTGATGACTGGSTAGTTGTAGTGTGGCCTAACTAAAGGATGGTCTTTCATTCTTGTCAGAAAGAGATCTTGTATGCTGCTCCTGCCTTTTAAAAATATTAATTTTAAAGATATTAAATATGGATATGACTGGCTTTATCATAAAGTTTTGCCATGATCTGCCCAGGAGAGTTAAGTAATATAACTGATAGTTGTAATAAGTGCTTAATACCATAAAAATCTGTTTTGACTTCATAAGTCTATTGTATCATTTTTGCTGCATTGCTGAGGTCAGTAGTTTACAGACTTTCATTGTTAAGCTCATTTTTCAGATGTATTTTGGGGGCCTCTTGTGATCTTTGGAAATACATTTGCAGGCATGAAGTGGAAGTCTGCTGAGCTCTGTCGCGTGGTGCAGAGACACAATGACCTGCGTGTGTGCGGCGAATGGCACTCGTGGCCACGTCTAACATGGGCACGCAAGACGTGAGCGGACAATGTGGCGGGACTCCTTCAGACTGCAAATCTTCTGCCTGCTCCTGGCAATCCTGGCTTTCGTGGTGCTGGTCCATAACTTCCTTCAGTTAGAGGTGAGTGAAGCCTGTTTCTTCTGCAAGTGGCCTGGAGCGAGGTTATTTCTGTCTGAGCGTAAGGAGAGGACTGTGGTTAACAGTGTTTATCTGCAGCTTGGAATCACAGAAAATTTCAGGCTGGAAGGGGTGTCTGGTGGCCCCTAGTCCAAACCCTCCTCAAAGAGCAAGCTTCAAAGTTGGATTGAGTTGCTCAAGGTCATGCACAGTTGAGATTTGACAGTTTCTGAGGATGGGAGGAGTTTCCACAACCTGCCTGGGCAACTGGCTGTGCTGCTATCATAGGAAACAACATGTTCTTCTGTGCTGCTGGCAGTTCCCTTGGTGAGAGCTGTGGCTATTGCCTCCTGCCGTTTTGCTGCACCCTTCTGGGGAAAGTCTGGTCCCAGTTTCTGTGCCAGGGCAGGCTGCAATTAGAGCCTCTCTCAGCCTTCTCCAGCCTAGGGAGTTTGATTGCCTTAGTCTCCCGTTACGTGATGTTACGGACTGATGCATTATTTTCCCTTTTTTCTTCCACTGTGTCCAGCTTTTGCACGCTTATGTGGTTTTTTTTCTTATCACTTTAATGCAGAGATGACTTCAAACAATATTAGTCAATATGCCCTTAAATAACTACTATGGATGTTTTTGTTTGTTTTTTAATTTAACTTACCAGGCCAAACTGAAATAATCTTGTGTGCATGACCTTGCTATACAGGTGTGATTTGACCTGATTTAATAGAAAGGCACAGTTATATATTACTTTCTGAAAAGTATCAGGGTGTTGCTAAGGAATAATGTCATGATTTTAGGTAGGGGAATTAGTGTCTTTGGAGCTGCAGAGCCGTTTCAGGTGGCTGTGAGCATCCTTTGATTTAGAAGCACTTTGAAAGATTATTTGTAGGGAGAGGGAAAGCCTATTGCAAAGATAGTATATGAGAAGAATAATATATGTGAAATCAAAYGGCTGAAATACAAATAAATAAATAAAACAAGCAGAGCTGTTTCCTTCCCTTCTTAGGTGTTATCCGAAAGGTGTTATTTTATTTTTTTGTAACTCTCATTTGGGGTTTGTATGCACCTTTTCCTGCCCTTTTAAAAAAGTTAGCTATCATTGTCTCTTCCGAAAGGTTACTGACCTGTATTCCATTCTTTTCAGCCTACTTTGTTCAGCAAACATCTGTTAAATTGCTTTGTGATCACAGTTCTGGTTTGCTGTTGAATGCAGCAAATAAATATTAGGAGTCATACTCAAAATCAAGACATCTTGAATGGAACCTACTTGGAAATAGCAAAGAAGAGGAGATGTTAGTCAGTACAGAACTTGTATTAAAAATTAAAGGAACATTTATCGTAAGACAGAGAAATGCCATTTCTGTGCCTTATTAGAAGAAATTTGACCTCGGAGAGACTTCACAAAGACTAGCTAACTTGTGAACAACATCATGTAAGTCTTTGAGGAAAGACCAAATTAAAAACCCTAAGGAAATTTGGAGAAGGCTTAAATAGTAATAGGATCTGTTGTCAGGTTGTCTTAAATAGCTGCGTCTCTTCTTTGTTTGGAAGGCGATCTTTGAAGTACCAACCGTTGAAGAACCAGCAAAGCCCTGAGAGATCTTGTCTCTTGAGAGAGAACTCYGAACCCAAGAATTATACAAATGCACAGTTTCTCCCTCCTGTTCCCATAGGAAAATAGTTATTTRCTTTGCTGACTTATGCATAATCAACAGTCCGTTGTATTAAAATATGCAGTTAGCTGGTTTAAAAACTTTCTATGCAGTGCCCATCTGATAAACAAGTATTATCTGTGCTATGTATATGCATGTGCTAGGTCCTGAAGATCATGTTGAAAACTTTATATCCCAAAATAGACATAAGGCTTAATTTGGGAACACATAGAGGCAGGATTCAGGGTTGAGAGCCACCTGTGCTTCATTCTCAGCTTTGTGTGAAGTTTACTGGATTAATGGAAGTAATGGACAGTCCTAAATCTGCATTTTTCCCTGCTTTGACGGAAAATGGAAACACTTGAGAATTATTTCAGTAGACTTCAGAGAACTGTGAATACCTATCAATTTACACTTCATAGTTAAATGTAGCAGGTTACAAATYACATTTTATAGTTAGCATGGGTATCAAAGTAAGAGGATAATCATCACATTGAGGTGTTGGATGGATATACAGAATCCTCTCTTAAGCTGATCAAAACTGACTTCTTGCGTAACAAGCTTAAAAAGCCTCTAAGTTACAAATGCTTTGTTAGATATACCTTTTTCCCTGGGAATAATTTTGAATCTCTGTTGTTCAAATGACTTTAATATACTGGCAAATTCAAACAAAATGTAGCAGGAAGGGGAAAACTACTTAATACATACAWGTATTCTATGTGACAATAAATATGGGCTAAGTAAAGTTCAAAAGAATAAATGCAATTTTATTCTGAGTACTGGGAATTTTAGTATTTTACTGAACTTTATTATGGAGAGAATAAAAAACCCTAAATACTGTGTTTTTAGCAGTTCCTTAAATGTAATAGATGCTCTCTGATTCCCTATGAATGATACGTTGTATAACATAATCTGTGCTTGAAAAGAGTTGATGATGTTTGCTTCTATGTGAAATATGAGTATAGATAAATTCTGTCACATAATAGAACTAAGAGCTCTTTATCTGATGATTGTGTGGATATTGAGGTATAAGGTTGGATATTCTGATTAGATATCTCATAGGTAACACAAGAATCTTAGCACCTCTGCAAAGTTGTATTTTTTCCTAATGCAAACCCACCACATTTTGCGTTCATGAAGAGGATGTATTGGTTTCTGTATAAAAATGGTTTTGAACTCTGTTCTCTGGTGTTATAGCAAAAGTACCCTTCTTTCAGCCTAGTGTAGTATTTAACTTCTTAAATCTCTGATGCTGCTCGGAGATACTGCTTGTCTGGTTTTCATTTAGCTCTAGAAGTAGATGTATGCAGATTTTTTTTTATCTTCTTTGTTTGTTTGTTTTATTTATTTTTTAATATCCCTTTCTCTCAGACTGTACTTGTCAAGGAAGCCCATACTCCAGATATTGTTCCAGGAAGCACTATGGTGCTAGCAGGCTCTTCTAGGAGGATGAATGGAGGCTGCATCAGATTCATCTGCAGTCTAATGTCTCAAAGGAACCCTGATTCCTTGTATAGTATTGGGGAGGTATTTGACCTTATCATGCTTTAAGAAAAAACTCTTATCAAAGTAAGGAAGTTAAAGGTTATTTACCATTTACTGTTTAATGGTAGGACCTCGTTGTTATTTTTACATTACTGATATTTACAAAATACTTTGGTGTCAAAAATGTTACCACAGAAAACACTGGGCCTGTTTTACCTAAAAACCTCTATGTTCTGCCAGGACAAAATGGCCTTTGGGTAACCACCAATTACTCACCTATTTTCTTTCTTT